CTCCTGGACAGCCTGTGCCACGGGGAGGGGAGCGTGCACAGATCGTCCATCATCCTGATGCCTTGGGGGGGAATGGCTGGAGCCATAAATCAACAAAGCTCTCCTGCTCCATCCTACCCATCCTGCCTTCATTTATCTCTCCGTGCTGGATCGTGAAATCACAGAGCGCTTTGGGTTGGAAAAGGTCTTAAAACCCGTCCTGTTCCACGCCCTGCCATGAGCAGGGACACTTCCACGAGGCTGCTCCAAGCCCTGTCCAGCCTGGCTCGTCTCACCTTGGAGTTGTTAGACCCTTTTTAGGAGCAAGGCCATGGTGGCACACGTGGACTCCTGGCCAGGCACGCTGGGGCTGGCTGAGTTTCTGCTGGAAAGCTGCGCCGTGCCTCTCACAAACACCAGATGCTCCAGGCCGGGGAAACAAAGAGCACTTTCTGTAAACAACAGCACACTGCAGCCCTCTCCCAGGCACGAACAATGGGAACCAGCAAAACAAGTGACAAGAGGTGGAAAACAAAGCAGCGCATGTGGGCTGGGGGGAGAAGTGCAGGATGCAGAGGGAAAAATGGGAAAGGTGCTGGATGCAGACGGAAAAATGGGAAAAGTGCTGGATACAGGTGGGAGAATGGGAAAGGTGCTGGATGCAGGTGGGAGAATGGGAAAGGTGCTGGATGCAGGTGGGAGAATGGGAAAGGTGCTGGATGCAGGTGGGAGAATGGGAAAGGTGCTGGATGCAGGTTTGGGAATGAGCTCCCTGGGGGCTGCAGCCTCCTGTCACTGTGCAGGGCTGGGGAGGGATTGGGCAGCCACTGTCCTCTCCAAGAAATCCCAGAAAGTTTGGGTGGAAAGGGACCTTAAAACCCATCCCATTCCATCCCCTGTCATGAGTAGGGACAACTTCCACCATCCCAGGCTGCTCCAAGCCCTGTCAAACCCAGACTGGAACAATTCCAGGGATGGGGCAGCCAGAACCTTTTCCTTCTTCTTCTTCCACAACCCTCTTCTTTCTTTTTCTTCAGGGTTGCAAATTGCAGAGGTCACACAGAGCTCTTCTGGGAAGGAAGACAAGGCTGGAGGAGCTGATGTGGAACAACAACAATAAAAAGTCAAATAACTTGGGGCTTCCCTAGCAGTGCCTGGGGAATGGGAACAACAGATCCTAGAGGAAATGCTTTGAGACTGCCAGAGATTTGGTCAGCTCTCATAGCCCAGAGTGAATATTTGGGCATCACACAGTGCAAGAAGAAATATTTTCCTCGCTGCTGCAGATCTTAGAATGAGATAAACGAGCGTGAGTAACAAGGAACATGTTGCAATGCTGTTACAAAAGCAAGGACAGGCTCTCAGGTGAGTCTGTCACACAGGAAATTCAGTGAGAGGGGACCAGAAACCCCAGCTTGTCTGTCCTGGAGGGCACAGGTAAATAAAAAGCAATTCCTTTAAACAATTCCACATTTATTGCCCCCAAACTGGTAGCTCAGACACACAGATCTCTCTTGTTTGAGGATAAATCTGCAGTTCCAAGCTGCAGCTCAGAGATGTTGTCACTGACTTGTGGGTACCAATTTGGGGTAGCCTGGGGGGAGATGCATGAAGAGGCAGGAGGGAGACACTCCAAATTAGAAGAGTATCGAGGCTGGAAGTGTTAAAATTTAAGATTAGGGCTTGTTTGGCTTTGTTTTTCATCACCATAATTCCAGACCATTCGATCCTTTTCTTCCAATTCAGGAAAAATTCTGGTTTTGCCTTCAGAGGAAGCACTGGCACCAGATCAGACAAACATCTCCCAAGTGAAAAAAGCAGGAATCCTAAAAAAGGGACTGTGCCCTTGCCTGGAGGCAGCTGCATGGACTAAATCCTCAGGTACACATGCTAATCCTCAGGAAAAACAGAGCAAGCAGCAGAAACTCTCGCTGCTCAAGCTTGAAGGGAGTTTTCCAGTGAAAATGCCACAAAATAAAAAAAGCTAAAAAATATTTTGAGGAATTACATCTACTTGCATGCCAAGACCAACTGAGGAGCTGCATTTCCAGAGGGACCAAGGGAGCAAGAGCAGAAATGAGAGGTCTAAAGAGCCCTCTTCAGCCCGGTGTGAAGATGGAAAAAATTCAGGATGCTCTGAACATGGCCCAGGAGGGGCAAGGCAGGAGGTGCCACCGGCGCTGTCCCTGTAACCCCCAGGCAGGGACCGCGGTTCTCCGGCCCCCTCCAGTGGCTACAGCACAGGGAGAGGCCGGCAGGATCCAGGCTTTCCCAAATCCAGAGCCATCCTGCTCTTTATTGGGCAGCAGGTGGATCCAGGCTCGCCACAGGTACCTCCCACCTGCCCTCAGGTCTGATCCTGCTGCTGTCCCAAACCATTTCGACCCTGTGAAAAGGCAACAGGCACTAATGGGCACTTGTGGAAGTGGCATTTTGTCCCCTCTGTTGTGTCCTGTCACAGTTCTCTTCACTGGAAGACGAAGGGCTAAAAAGGTACTGTGACTCAAGTTGGGGTAAAAAGGGCTTTACTTGACTTCGGGGATTGAAAAACAAGAGACAAACAAACAAACCAAGCTCCAAAACCAACCAAAAAAACCCACTTCAACCCAACAGATGCCTTTCCCCCACCCTTTGAGCAGGATGATATTTGGATCCCAGCTATATCCCAGATATTTGGATGAGCAGGAAATGGTATTTGGATCCCAGCTACCAGCATCCCATGCCCTGGAAATCCTCCCCGAGCAACAAAGACAAGAAAGCCAACATGAAAGGACATCTTTGGAGCAGCCTGGCTGATTTCAGACCTGGTTTGGCTCTTCAAGCATTTGCCAAATCTTCTTATCCTGCCCATTCAAGCTTCCAGCAAGGCCAGGCCACACACACTTTATATATACTGCACAAATATAATGGTCATTTTTCAATGGATGGGATGTACACTGCAGGAATGTTTATTTTCCCACCCATAGCTTCACAAATCTCAATTTTTACTCGCATTTTCTGAGCACACCTCATGGACAACATGGGAAAAAACACCTTTACAAAAGGGAATGCTTTGCTGCATAGGAGGGAATGGTGAAGTCCAAGCTAAGGCAAAAAGAAATGCTGTTTATATAATGTGAAAGGACAGAAATGCATGAATTATTGAGATTTCATACTGGAAGACTATTGTTTCCTGGGTTTAAAAGGAGAGGGTAAGGCAGAGGATGCAGGCTTTTGCCATATAGGACATGACAATGAAGTCTATGAATATCCTGAATCTATTTCAAGATTATTATCTCTCTACAGTGAAAATTCCAAATTCTCTGTGTATTAAACCAGCTCAGCAAAGCTGGGTTTGAGTAGCCTCAGCAACCAGTCTCCACAGGGACCTCATTCCAACAGAATCCTGTGCACTTACAGCTTAATTTCATGTGAGTTGTCCCCAGGCTGGACTCGTTCCAGGCCCTCAAGCCAAAGGTTTGGTCTTTTCCAGAGGCAAAGTCCCTCAGTGAAGATGGAAGTTGGATGGATGATCCAGGCACTCCAAAGCCTTGATTCTGCACATCTCCAAGGCACTGATGAACCTCAGGCTGGTTTGCTGCTGGGCTGGGAGATACATCCTTAGACCTGGAGAGATCCATGCTCAGGGGAATCCTTTGGATGGGATCTCTAATTAACGTTAACAGGCTCAGCTTTAATTACAGACCAGACTTACATCAAGCACGGAGTTGAGCCCATTCTCTCAACTTCTCTGACATTCCCACTGAGGCATTTCACTGCACCTTATTCCAGGTGGAACCACCATCCAGAGGGGGGCTGAGCACAGGAACAGGGAATGGTCCCAGCCCCAGGCTGCCAGAGCCCAAGGAACATTTGAACAATGCTCTCAGGGGTGCACAGGGTGGGATTGTTGGGCTGTCTGTGCAGGGCCAGGAGCTGGACTGATGATCCTTGTGGGTCCTTCCAGCTCTCCCATCCATCCTACCACCTTTACCCCAGCTGGAGGTCCCATTTACAAACCAACTAAAAATCCTCAGGGAAAAACCAACCCCAAAAACTGTTCCCGTGGCACTTTCTCAACACAGTCCATCTCATTTTCTGCCTCCCCATACTGGAGCTCAGGAGCATGGTGAGCTCCTGCAAACCATTATGGATCCCCCAGCAAGGTGCCAAGAGGCTTTACAACCTGTTTGCATCTCCCAGGCATGTTCACACCTCTATAAAGCCAGTGCATGACTCGCTGCCAGCGCCAGGAAAACCAAAACCAGCTGCAGGCCTGGGAAGGGAACGGTGCAGAACTGCCCCTCCTCACCTGCCCACAGCTCCACGTCCCCTGCACCTCACCTGGAGAAGGTCTCGAAATATCCTCTGCTTTGGTTTGCTTTTGCATTTATTTATGCCTCTGGGAAAAGAACGTTTTGGGACCAGTGTTGAGGCCTATGAGGTAAACCCATAGGGTCCAGGGACAGGGCTCGGAGCAACCTGGGATAGTGGAAGGTGTCCCTGCCCATGGCAAGGGCTTGGAGGTGGGCTTTAAGGTCCTTCCCAACCCAGACCAAGGTGGGATTCTCTGGTCTTTAAGGTCACATCTGGAAAATTACCTTTGCCAGCCGAATGAGCACGGGAAGAAGAGCTAGCAAAGAAAAATCATCCAAAAAATTAAACTTATAACACAGTGACTTTACTTGAATCGGAAAAGTTAAAGCAAGTACCATTTATCACCTGAGATTTTTCCCAAGATCCTGAGGCACCATCACCTCTACCTTTCTAAAGTTTTGACAACAATTCCTCTGCAGTGAGCATGACTGGCTGACCCTGAGATCCCAACAAAAGGCCGCTGACTCCCTGTAGAATGACTCTCCTGGGAGTTTTGGCATGAAGAGGCACTGGAAGTCAATGGAGCCCAGGCTGCTGGATGCAACACTACGATTAGAAGCACAAAATCTCCCAACTCCTCAAAATAAACCCCTTTTTCCTCCCTTTTGCACAATGCAAACAAAACAGACCTGTTTCGTGGATCTGGGTGAGTTTTCTCTGGTTTACCACGGCATATGAAGTAAAATGTAGGTAGGAACTTCTGGGTTTATGTGCTGTGATGGGAAAAATAGTAAAGTAGGGACACTTTCCCCACACAGAAATGCCACAGAGACCCGAGGTGTGTGTGCGACACAGATCAGTAACAGAGGTTATGCATTTGCCAACAGCTACAGGATATATTGTATTTGCTCCAGCAACACCCACACACGTTTAGCAGCCTCTCCCCAAGGAGATAAGACACTGAATCACTGCACCCTAAATCTGGAGGAGAAAAAAAATCCACAGGAGCTGGGAATTATGTGCACTCCATGAAGGAAAAAGAGGCAGGATTGGCACCTGGCTCTGTCAGGGCACTCATTTACCAAGTCAAACTGTCCCCAAAAGCAGCCAGCCACCCTTTAACTGTGTTCGTGGAGTAAAAATTGTTTAATGGGGTCTGGGATGGGAAGGCTGGGGATCAGATCCAGGCGGGATTTACCAAGGATTCTCCGCACAGCTATGCGGCACAGAGACAAGAGGCTCCGGGCGCGGCCTGCAAGGAAAAACACAGGGAAGGATTACTGGAGAAACAGAGCGGGAGAACAGCAGCACGGAGACAGGGCAGGAGAGCCGAGTGTGCACAAATCCTGCCTCCTGAGGAGGTCAAACCTCCTGGGCTTGGAGCAGATTTCCAAGCACATGGGCAGGCTGGAAGGCAGGATGGGCTGGAAACCATGGAAGCCATCACTGCCAAGCCCACAGCAGGACCTGAGGGAGTGGCTGGAGCTGTGCCAGGGGGTTTAGGTTGGATTTCAGGAAAAGGTTCTTCCCTCAGAGGGTGTTGGGCACTGCCCAAGCTCCCCAGGGAATGGGCACAGCCTCAAGGCTGCCAGAGCTCCAGGAGGGTTTGGACAACACTCTCAGGGATGCACAGGGTGGGATTGTTGGGGGGTCTGTGCAGGGCCAGGGGTTGGACTGGATGATCCCTGTGGATCCCTTCCAACTCCACAGTTCTATTTGGATCATTTTAAAATTATGTCAACAGCACTGATGGCCAGCTCAGGCCTTATCCCAACTTTCTTTTGAGCGCTTCCTTTGAGTCCATGGAGAGCTCTTCCAGCACAGGGACAACAGGATGGTGGTGCCCATGTTGATTCAGGAACTGGAACTCCATGGCATCACTCCATTATCCCATATGGTCCGCCTGAGGAGTCCCGTTTGCCTCCTAAACCCAAGCCTAATGGAACTCCAGCTTATGTGAGCCTCGCTCCTCAGAATCCCAGGCAGGCTTGAAAACCAGGCCCATGCAAAGATGAGTAACCTGGGGATGTGAATTGTATCCCACAGCCTGAATCCCTTTAAATTTCTCCGGAGCTCAAGAGGGAAACCCCACTTCCATCCCTGGTGCAAAGCTGTGGCCTTCACCAGGTGAGTTTCCGAGGTGCTGCGCTTTTCCCCACCTTTTTTCGTCTCCATCTGAGCTTCCTCCTGCCCCTTTTTACCACTGTTTGTGGCTTTCCTTCCCAACCAGATTGAACTCCATCCTGGGTCCAGAGCCCAGGGTCACACAGGAACAGCAGGGACACACCTGTGTGGCTCTAGAGAACTGGATGCCACTGGTGATCCACAGCTCAGATAGGACCCTTATGCCTAGTCTACATGAGTGGGCAATGGAAAAGAGCTGGGAGAGATGAAAAAGGTGGAGTAAAAGACTTTGGTTAGTTACTTTAGCCCAACAACAGGGGTTTGGCTGCTGAAGGACTCAAGAGGGGAAAACACCGTGTGAAGGCACAAAATGCAACAGGGGAAAAGCAGGGAGCGGAGAAGTCATTAATGCTTTGTCTGCCAGCTCGTTAGACCCCGTTATCCAATTGCTGACGGTCCTTGAACACAGCAACATTCACCCCACCAGCTCAGCAGCACCTTCACTTCCAAAGAACCCCTCCCAAGTGCTCTCCCAAGGACCCAAACCCACTCACCCCTCGCTTCTTTGAACACCTCCAGCGCCTCGGCGTTCACCTTGACCCTCCCCGCGGCCTCGACTCCCAAGGCCTCCACCTTGACGAGGTTGAGATCCGCTCCAAAGTCAACGAGGAGGCGGACGAAGGCCGGCTCGCAGCCGTGCCGCAGGACGGCGTCCAGCACGCACACGGGCGAGCCCCGCGAGAAGCCCCGCACGTTGATGGGCCCGCAGCAGTTAAAATCCGGGTTGGCTCCCGCCTGGAGCAGCAGGCGGAAGCAGGGCAGGTTGTGGTAGGCAGCGCTGATGTACAGGGGACACACCACCAGCGTGGTCAGTGGCCGCGGCGCCTGGCCCGGCCCGCGGGATGCCAGCTGCTGGTTCACGTCCACGTCCGCGCCGTACCTGCTCCAGGGAGAGGGAGGGAAGGTTGGGAATGGCAAGGGAGGAGGTTGAAGGACATGTGTGGAGTGAGAACCTCTGGAACCTGCCCATCCCTACCCTGAGATGGGCCTGGCAGCGCTTCTGAGTGGGGACAACGCAGCGTGATCTCCCAGAAGCAAAGATGTTTCCTTGCCCACAACAGCCCAGGATTTGGAGAGAGGAGGAACAGCAACATCCTTGCCCTCCTGATGGATTGGGTTTGCATGGCCAGGTTTTGGTGGTGAGAGGCTACAGGGGTGGCTTCTTTCAGAAGCTTCCCGCATGTTGCTTCCCCTTCCTTGAGAAGGAGAGAGAGGTGGGGGAAGGTGTTTTTTAAGATTGACTCCACTTCTCCTTACCCTGCTCTGATTTTATTAGGAATAAATTAAATTTATACCCCCGAGTCTGTTTTGCCCATGATGGTATTTAGTGAGTGATCTCTCCCCTTCCTCATCTCCCCCAGTCCTTATCTCTCCCATTCCTTATCTCAACCCAGGAACTTTCAGCTGTATTTTCTCTCCTCTCGTGCCTTGGCACCAGGGATGGCTCAGCCCTGAGCCAGCACCACGTAATGCTGGATGCTAACGAGCTGCCTTGGGGAGCAGGGATGTTTCCAGATGACTCCAATGAAGAGAGATGCTGAAACAACTTCCCTACCAGGATAAAACAGGCCAAAAAAGCAACACGGGCGCTCGATCCCAAACAGCAGGGAAATGGAAACAGGGATCTGCACTCCACAGCGAAACATCCGTGACAAACCTGGCTCCCAAAGGAGCTGGAGGGGCTGGAATCTGCTGGGGATTCCCTCAGGCAGTGGGGACAGTAACTCCGTGTACCTCTCATGCAGCTTGGATGGGAAGAAGGAGGAAAACAACACAATCCCTAAGGAGTAGCTGGTTTTAATCCAAAGCCGTGTCCGTTCTACCCACAGAGGGAGAAAAGGTTCCTTCATCCAGCAGTCTCCCTCCCCAGATTGCGAATGGAGCACTCAGAGAACCAGGCTTTTCCTAGATAGCATGATATTCCTTTCAGGAGTTCATAAAACTAAGGAAAATACCCGGGGACAAATGCTACCTCAAAGGAGGCTCAGTTCTCGCTGAAACCAGCGGGGACCGCTCCCTATCCGGCAAATATTTAACAAATCCTGCAGTTCTGAGCACAGCAAGAGTCTCATTCCACTTAAGCACACCCAGAGCAAGGGCTGAGAGACTCCTCTCAGAGCTGCAAATGGCACAAAGTGTATTTTTCCCCTTAAAATTAGATTACACAAGCATTTGGACAGAGTTATCTGTGCTGCTCTGAGACTTCCACAGGGCTGTTGTAAGGCCACTGCCTCCTGAGCAGACAGCAGATCTCCATTTCAGTCCTTTCTTCCCCCATTATTACCACCCAAAGTCTCAGTAGAAGCCCTCAATTCAAAGCAAACCCCCAAATTCTACTTTTAGCAGGGTCAAACATGCACGTGAGGGACGGGAGTGATCTGGCAGCTCTCTTTTTCCCAGTTTTAGCCTGGCAAAAGGATCCTCTCATCCTTGCTACCCTCAGCTCCACTGCAGGTAGCAGTGGAGCCCACTACAGCATGAGCCCAAATTACAAGGAATGTCATTTATACCCTGGCATTAGAACACTAATTATTTCCAGCAGCCTCCCAGTAAAATGGATCCCCACTCCACAGCCATGTGTGGGTTTACTGCTCATGGATGGGATTTCACCTCTTGCTTGGTTCAGCACTTGCAGGAATGCTCAGAGATCCCAACAGTGCTACCACAGGATTTTCAAACCAGGTGATGTTTACACACCTGCAGCACACCTGACTGGGTTCAGGTTCTCTCAAAATATTCCCTCCTATCTCAGGAAAAGTGCCTTCCTCGTTGCACTCTTCCTGCCAAATCCTGTGGATCTAACATTTTAAAAATCCCTGCAACATAAAGGCTGCATTTTTCACTAAGTAACTCTGCACAGATCTCTGAAATCCCTACTCTGAGATATTTGAAATTTTGGGCAATCTGACAATTTGGTATTAGCTTAGCAGCCTTGGGAGAGACATTGCCTAATAAAAAGAGATTGGACAAACTCCAGTTAATTTTTAATCCTGAAAGTTGTCCAAAATCTTGCTTTTAATATTGCTGGTGAGGTATCCCAAGGAGCAAGACACATAAATCAAGGCATCAGCTCTCCCTGTGCTGCTGAAATACCATTTGCTACATTTCACCCTGCCTGGGTGGAGAGAGCAGGGGAGATTTTTGGGAATGCAGCGAGCTGAACCCTGTATCAACAATCCTGTGCTGATGGGAACATCCTCCTCTCAGCTTGTTGGGAAAGGAACGAGGAGGGGGGGATTATCTCCCCTTCTTCCTCCAAGCTGTACTTGCATGAAAATTCAAAAAAGGAAGAAAATCCCCGAGAATTTTGAATATTTTCCTATTCAAATCCTTTTGTTATGTTCTAGCATTTGAGGTCATCAAAAGGATTCCTTCAATTTTCTTCTCTTTTCACTATTTCTCCCTACAACCTACATTTTCCCATTATGATCCCTTATTATTTGGCAACCATGGCCCACATAGTTGTCCAGAACAATCCCTTGGACAGAAATCTTCCCATTTTAAAAGAAGGAATAATCAGGGCACGCCACAGAAGGAGCAATTCAAGTTCCCACAACCTCCTGCTACACCCTGAGCCCTGCTGGTGCTGGCAAGGGAGTTGCCTGAGGGAAAACCCAACACCCAGGGAAATTTTTGGGGGGAATCCACCTCCCTCCTAACTCCAGTCAGGGGCATGGTGGAAGTTGGGGGAATTGCAAGGTTTGGATCCGACTGGATGGCAGGCTCAGAACTGGAGACTCACTGGAACAGGTGGGAACAGCCCCGTAGCCGAGGCCAAGTGACGGGAAATCCTAAGACGTCCCTTTGGGCACCTCTCCACCCTGTCCTCTCCAGCCCAAGAGGTGTGGGAGGCTGCAGCCGGGCGAGGAGGGAAGGCATGCCAAGGGAGCAGGGAAAGGGAGAGGCAGCCCCGAGCTCTGACCTGATGAGCTCCTGCAGGATGTCGGCGCGCCCCACCCGTGCCGCGTGGTACACCGGCGTGCTGCGGTGGTGCCGGCTGCCGTTGGGATCAGCGCCGGCCTTCAGCAGGATCTTGGCACACTCCAGGTGCCCGTTGACCACGGCCACGTAGAGAGCTGTCTGCCCCTTGACGTCCACCAGGTCGATCTCGGCCCCCTTGCGCAGGAGGAAGTCGACGCAGGGCCCGTGGCCGGCGGTGGCGGCGATGCGCAGCGGGGTGCAGGGCAGCCACCCGCAGCACCACACCGACTTCTCGTTGATCCGGCTGTGGCGGGGGGACACGCGGTTAGAGCAGCCCCATTCCCTGCAGGAGGGTGCCCCCTGTGAGTCTGGGCACTGCCCGGGCTCCCCAGGGAATGGGCACGGCGCAAGGCTGCCATGGCTCAAGGAGGGTTTGGACAGTGCTGCCAGGGGTGCTCAGGGTGGGGTTGTTGGGGTGTCTGTGGGCTTGGACTGGATGATCCTTGTGGGTCCCTTCCACTCAGAATACGATTCTCTGATTTCTGGCACTTTTAGCAGCCCCAAAAAGCTGTCAATCGCCTGACAGATGCTGCCTGCACAGGTGAAGCAGAGCAGTGTTTGGATGGTGGGCTTCAGTTGTGCCATGGGCTGCACACCTGCACAAACCCTGCCTCAAAAATCACCTATAAAAAAACCAAAACAACTTCTCCCTTCTGCCCCTTCGTAAAGGGAGATGTCCCAAACTGGTAGCCCAGAGAAGCTATGCCTGCCCCATTCCTGGAAGTGTCCAAGTCCAGGCTGGACAGGGCTTGGAGCAACCTGGTCCAGTGGAAGGTGTTCCTGCCCGTTTCAGGGTTAGGATTAGGATGAGCTTTCAGGTCCATATCTACCTCCAAATTCAAAGACATCACTTCTCTGCTCACTCCATCACTTGTTGAATGGAGCTGTGGGTCCCACCCTCCTCTTCCTGTCAAACTCTGCTTTTTCCCACAAAAAACCCTCAGCCCAAGGGTCCCAAGAGCCCCAGCTGCCCAGGTAGCAGAGGGAAGGGTGGCTCATTCTCATTTTTTGCTGAAATAACACCTTTTTTTTTTTTTTTTTTTTTTTTTTTTGAGGCTGGGAAACATTTAGCACTCTAAGCAGATTTCTCCATGATGCAGGAAAATTAATTAACTATCCCCACAGTCACAGGGTTAGCACTGGGCAGATTTTGTAACATGGGGTGTTTCAGGTTTATAGTTGATTATAATCCCTTTTGTATGTTTTCCCCATTATCCGTAGGCTCCCGTTTTCCTGGTATCACATTCCTATCCTGATCTGAAAAGAGTTCATGCACAGCTACCACAGCCTCATGAGCAGCTGTGAAATCTGCCTCCTGGGAAACCAGGGGAATGATCTGGGGGAAAGGGGAGCATCCTGCCACCGTGACACCTCTCCCATAAAATCTCCCATCCCTGGAATTGTCCAAGGCCAGGCTGGACTTTGGGGCTTGGAGCAACCTGGGATAGCGGAAGGTGTCCCTTCCTGTGGCAGAAGGTGGGATAAGATGAGCTTTAAGGTCCCTTCCTACCCAAACCGTGCAATGAAAAAACCGGACGAGATGGGGGTCACCAAAAGGAGCACGCTGTGGAGACAGCGAGAACATCCTAGGAAACACCTCTCCCCAAAACCAGCGGGTGGGATGGGAGCCCCCAAAAGGTGCAGGCTGTGGGAACAGTGGGAAGAACACCCTGACACCTCTCACAAGAAAAAAGGCCGAGATGGGAGCCCCCAAAAGGCACAGCAGTGAGCACGGCGAGCGAAGCATCCTCCCTGACACCTCTCCCACAAAAACCCCCATCCCTGGAAGTTTCCCAGGCCAGGCAGGACGGGGCTTGGCGCACCCTGGGACAGCGGCAGGCGTCCCTGCCGATGGCAGCGGCGGGACTGGAAGCTCTTTAAGGTCGGAGGGGCCGTGTCCCAGGCTGCATGCCCACCTCTGGAAGCTCTCGTCCTGCAGCAGGCTGCGCAGCGTGGGCAGGTCCCCCACGAAGGCCGCGTCGTGCAGCCGGGTGTCCTCGCAGTGCTCCAGCGGGTGGTCGCAGAACTGCTCCCGCAGCCACTCCTTCAGGTTGCGACCTGCGCTGGAGAGAGGCACACGGCGGGGTGACAAAGGGCTGGCAGAGGGGGACAGTGACCCCGCTGTCCCCGGCACGGCCGCCCCGGGACCCCCCTGCCCACGGTACCTGCCCGGGGCGGGCGGGTCCCCGCCCTCCGCCATCGCGCCCCGCCGGCCCCGCTGCCTCGCCCTCCCTCGGGCCCTCCCTCAGCTCCTCCTTCCCGGCCTCCCTTCCCGGCCTGATTGGTCCCGGTTCGCTTCCTGCTCCCGTTAAGGTGGATCCTCCCCGCCGGCCCCGCGGCCTCTCCTCCCTCAGCCGCCCCGGGCCCGGCCGCTGGTTCTCCTCCGGGAGCTGCGGCTGCCGCCGCCTGCTGCGGGCACGCCGGAGCCAGGACAGCGGGCAGGGCTGGGACAGCTGCCCGCAGCTTTACGGGCTCCTGGTCTCCCCGTTTCTGGTCACTTTACCGGTCTTATCTCGGTTTTCCCGCAGCGCAGCTTCCGGGATCTTCACTTGGAAGGGATCCATAAGAATCCTCCAGTGTAACCCTGCACAGACAGCCCAACAATCCCACCCTGTGCCCCCCTGAGAGCATTGTCCAAATGTTCCTTGGGCTCTGGCAGCCTGGGGCTGTGCCCTTTCCCTGGGGGAGTCTGGGCAGTGCCAGCACTCTCTGGGGGAAGAAACTTTTCCTGATATCCCACCTGACCCTGCCCTGACACAGCTCCAGCCACTCCCTCAGGTGCTGTCCCTGTCACAGAGAGCAGAGATTGGAGCTGTCCCTTGGGAGGAAGCTGCCAGCCATGCTGAGACCTCCTTTTCCTCTTCTCCAGCTGAACAAACCCAGTGCCCTCAGCTGTTCCTCATCCCTTTACCATCTTCATTCTCTCTATTCCCTTCACCATCTTTGTGACATTTCTTTGAACACTCTCTAACAGCTTTATATCCTCATTATCGCTCTACAAGCGTTTAAAACACACCCTCAGCTTCTAAGTGCACATTTTCGAGTCTCCAGTGGCAGCAGGGCATGGTGGTCATCCATCCATCCATCCATCCATCCAGGATATCCCTCCACAGACACCAGGCTCTGGCTGCAAACACGGTTTCCTGTGACTTTTGTACTTTGGGCTCGAGGAACATGCAGGAAAGAGGCACAGTCTGCAAATCAAACCCGTTTCCTTTGCCTGCTGGAAGATCAGGAGAGGATGGGATTGATGGGAATTTCAGATCCACTAGCACTGCCACCTTCTCCTGCCTGCAGCCCTTACACCACAGGATGAGGCACACCCAGGGCCAGCAATTCCTTGCTTGGTTTCTAACCCCAATTTACAGCTGCATCCAGAGGCTCTATGTGCCCCACTCTGGCCAGGGAAGCAGCCCTACACATCCCATTCCCTGCTGCATCGCTTACCCATTTAATGGGAATACATTTAATGAGCTCCTCCAGCTCCAGTGGAGCGATGGGGGCTCATCCAGAGGAAAAACCATGTTGGTCCATGGGCTTTTTTTTAAAATTTGGAGCTGATTGTTCTCCCACAGGGAAAGTGTGGACAGGCGAGAAAGGGGAACAGAGAATGCAACACTGTTTATTAGCAATATATCCATGTGGGAAAGCAAAGCCCTAGAGGGGAAAAAAGGGGTGGATAAACAGGACAGACAAAGCTGGAGTTGCTCGTGGTTTGAGGTTCCTTCAGTTCTTGCTGCAATGAAGGCAGAACGTTCTTACAGACCATATCCCAGGAGATTTTCCTGCTGTTTGTCTCCTGAACCAGGCTTTGATTCTCTCTCTCTCTCTATTTTTTATTTTTTATTTTTTAAAATTAACTTTTCTTTAAATGCACGTGAAGAGCAGCCCATCCCAAGTTGTCCTGACGAGTTCTTGTGCAGTGGTGGTGAGAGGGAGTGACTGTGCAGACTCAGCCTCCAGCTCTGGAAATCCATAGGTGTTTTAAGAGAAATCCCATGGGGAAATGCACTAAACTCTGCTAATTTATATCACTCCAAGTGGCTGCAGTGGCAAAGTGGAAATTTGCAAACAGTTCACCATTTGGTGAAGACCTAGGAAACGCTTTTTCCAAGTCTGGAGAAATCGTTTTGTCCAGCATATCCTGACAGCTCCTACCAGCTGTGCCAAGCTGAGGGCACAGGCTGTTGGCAATCCACACCAAAAATGGAGCCTCCAGGAGGAGACTTCCAGGGTCTAAAAATAGTCACTTATCCAACACAGCAACACATGCTGGCTCACCCATTAGGCAACACCTGTTCTCCAGCTCCTAACCCTGAAGCAATGTAAAAAAAAACCTCAAATTCAATAAATAAATAAATACATACATACATACATAAAGCAAATAGAACTCCTCCTGCTGATCCTGATCCAGAGGATCCCTCAACCACCCCCTCCACATTCACTAAGATTTCCCACTGTCCCCCCAGAGCAGACACATCCTCCTACTCCCCATCCTCTCCCAACTGTGCTCCTCATGCTTCAAATAAAACAAGTTCAGCCATCCTGCTCCTGGAAACGGGACCCCTAGAAAGGGCCAGAAAGGAATCAGCCCATCCACTAGGCTCCCACTAGACTTCCCTTCCCTTCCCTTCCCTTCCCTTCCCTTCCCTTCCCTTCCCTTCCCTCACCTGATCATGGCTGAGGGGAGAAGAGGGGGCAGGGGTGAACTCCTGTTAATCCACTGCTTTTACTCCCTGGAATGAAGCCAGTGGTTGCATTTAGTGCCAGGCTGAGAAGAAAATGCACCTCCCTCCCTCCCTCTCATTCCTGGATAAACATGGACATCTTGGGAGCCTTGCCTGAAAAGGACAATGATTTACACCTGGTGCTAAAACCAGTGGTTAGTCTCACCACCACCACCACATCCAACGCCCATTTCCAGGGGCACCACACCTTTTAAATCCACCTAGGTTCCTCCCAGACCTTCCAAGCAGCAGGAAAAAAGCTGCATTATGAAATACTTTGCAATTGTAACTGCTTTGATGCCAGGGTCGCAGTGAAGGAAAAGAAAGAAAGGAAGGGGGGAAAAAAATGCCGTGACCAGAAGTGTAATTCACACTTAGCTCAGTCTATAAAACTTCTCCCTGCCTGGATCCAAGCCATCGGCTTGAATTTGTAGTGAACTCTCAAATGAAGTTGCCCTAGTGATAAATGCATCTATGGGGAAAGATGTAGGGGGGAAAAAGTCCCTCATGTCCCTGTTTTTAGCTCAGCCTGATGCTTTTCTGGGGAATTGGTGTGGTTCCTGAGGTGGACATGAAGGCATGCATTAACAACAGAAAACAGGAATGAGAGATGGGAGGAGAGTTGAATTCCAGCATCCAGGATGTCATTAGGACTGGGGCTGGAAGCACAAACATGACAACAGAAAGGTTGCTTGGAGTCCAGAAAGTCAATCCTGCTGCAAATGGGCCTAAATACCTCTGTGCTGAGGGAAAACAGGCAGCACTGATCATCAGCCAGCTGAGTTCTAACCTTCCTTCGCGTGTCCAGCACTTGCTCCTTCCATCCTGACCGGGAGAAAGCAGAGGGTGTGGAGTGGAGATTCTACTGCAACACCACAGAAAGGCAGGGACTAGAAAATCCCACCCATCATCATCATCATCCATCATCATGAGACAGAGCTGAACAGTCACCCCACTGCTCCTGGGAAAACTGGGACAATCTGTCCTGACAGTGAGGGAAAAGGGCTAAAATTGAGTAAAGAGCCATCAGGATTAACACAATTAAGGAAAAATAGCCCTAAAAAGGGGAGTATTCCCTACTGGCTGTGCCCAGAGGGTTTGGGGCACAGCACCTCTGGTCGCTGGAATTTTGTTTAGGATTTTCAGCCTTGCCCAGAGGGTGCCCGATGATAAGGAAACAGGGCAGCGATTGTCCTACACATCCCTTCCATTTCTCCCAATTAAATTATGGGATTCCCAGCTTTTCCCTCATTCTTTTCCTGTCATTTATCTCCATTAAGGGCATGAAAGGATCTGGAAATCCTTGTGGGCTGTGCTGCAGGAACACCTCAGGAGCATGAAGAACCCAAATCCACCAGCCTGGTGTCTCCAGCAGGATCCAGCCACAGGTTCCCAGCTCATGGATCAAGCACAGTTGCAGACATTTTTTTCTCCAGGGCCATCATCATGAACAAGTTTGAGGCAGGGAAGGAAAACACTGATGGAGCTTTTATCACCATTTTCCAGGAGAAACAGCCATCCTTTGATGGCAGATGTGGGAATTTCACAGGAGAAGCAGGCGTCTCCTTTACCTCAGTCCACAAAGGAAACACCTCCTTACAGGCAGGTTAGAAAATACCAGAAAATCTGCTGAGGACAAGTTTCCATCCAAAAAGGCAAAGGGCTGCCCAGGAATGAGTCACTCAGGAACATTTCAGCCCAACTCCCACCAGGGATTTGCAGACAAAAGGGATTTATTTATATTTTTAGCTGTTTGGGTTTTTTTAACTCCCCCTCAATGTTTTTGCCACTTGAACAACTTCTTTCAGCACTCATGTGGAATTTTCAGAAGAAACAGCTCAAGGAAAAGCAAGAATGGCGGGGGGAAAAAAGAGCTGGGGAGGAGAAAAGTTTGCACAGGAGTTGGACTTTGATCATCCTTGTGGGTCCCTTCCAACTCAGTGATTCTGTGATTTCATGTCCCTCCCTCTTCCCCTGAGTCTGGCTATTGTCCTCTTCATCCCAAACCAGCATTTCTGACACACAGAGAGGTCAAACACTGACTATTTCATAGAAACGACGGAATGGTTTGGGGTGGAAGGGACCTTCAAAGATCCTCCAGTCCAACCCAACAAACAGTGAACATTCCATAGAAATTATAGAACTCTTTGGGCTGGAAGGGACCTTTAAAGATCATCCAGTCCAATGCATGAAGGCATTCCAGGCAGTCCAGATCTATGCCCAGGGATGCAGCTCCCAGTGCCTTGGGAGTGAGGTTTTAAACGAGGTCTGCTGCAAAATTTGGTGTGATCAGCACCGAGTAGCCCCGTCAGAAACCTGCATTAGTGACAAAAGGCACATCAAGAGCCCCACAGCAGCATCTACACCTCCACATTCCCTCAGAGGAGGTGGTTTGGGAGGGGCATCCAGCTAGGAACAGGTATCAGGAGCTCCACAGCCTTGGACATCTATGGAAAAGCAGAAAGCTGAGCAATTCTGTCAAAAAAGAGAAAATAC